TCGCCTAATTTCGAATATTGAACCGTAAATCAGAAATGATAACAGAAAACACATTTTCCAAATTACATTATCCAGACTACTGGAGAAACACATTCGTTTTATGGAGTGATACAGAATCTTGGGACTCCTTCTACTTTGAAAAAAATCCGAATGCAACCAAACGATTGTCACGAGATGCTTTGTCTGCAGAATTGGATGTATTAATTCGAGATCTGGAACCAGGCACTAAAGAAAGAGAGAAAGCGTTAGCAATTAAGAGTGATCTGAAAGTTAGTATTTTCACATTCTTTCATGAATGAGTAAAATGTTTGCTGAGTGTGCTACACCCTGTATTGCTTGTACGGGTGAAGAGCGCGTCAGGCACTCTGCGTCAGTAAAGAATGTCATCCTGTTACTGCACTGAGAAACTGTGCTACAGCTTATTCTGCTGGCATGAGGGAAGAATGCGCCTAGACATGAACACTACTACGCTCTGAAAGGGGTGTCATCCTGATGGCGTGCACTGTGCTACATCCTGTTCTGCTGGCACGGGAGATGATGCGTCCAGACATGAACATTACTGTGCTGACGAAGATTGTCATCTAGTGGCAAAACCGAAATGTGTGACAGGTTACGATTAATTAATTAACATCGGGACATGTTAAATAGATTTTAAGGTTAGAGTTAATTGAGAGATATAAAAAGGATTTAGACAAAGCTTATACCAAAATTATGAGTAGAATTTCTTTTCTTTAGAGACCATGGGCTGTTTCATAAGAATTTTTAAAGTTTTTTTTCTTAATTTTGCGACAAATTTCGGACTTATATGTTAATAGATTTTTTAAGTTAGATTTGGAAAGAACCAAACGAGGATTTAAGCAAAATTTATGCTCAAATTATGTAGAAAAATTTTTTTTCTGAGAGCACCAAGAACAATTTCGTAAGCAAAATTTGAAGTATACTCTTAATTTCATCGATCACATTACAGATTCACATATTAAATAGATTTTAAGATTAGAGTTAGTTTGGGAAGGGCTAGAAAGAGCATTAGTCAAAATTCGTCCAAAAATTATGTAAATTCATATGCAAAATTTTGAAGTAGGATAATATTAATTTTGTCGATTACATTTCGGGCTTGCTATTTAGGCGTGCACAATTCTTCAATTAAGGTCTACTATTCTGGAGAAGGAATAGGTATGCATTTTTCTTGTGAAGAAATCTTATTCACATTTTTACATTATTACAGAAACCTGCGAAAAGGAAAAACAAGCAAGATGGAAAAGAAAATCAATTGCCAGCCAAAAAGCATAAATCTGTCATTACACTTTATTGTCTGCAAAAAGGCGACGATCAACTGTCTGCGTTCCCAATCGAAATCAGAAGTAAGGCAACGATAGGCGATTTGAAGGAAGCCATTAAAGAAAAAATTAAAGTCCCTACCGCCAAAGACTTAAGCCTCTGGAAAGTTGAAATTCCGGATGATGATGAGGATAAATTATCGAGTATTGTGCTGAATGACAAGGAAAGGCTTCTTGCGAAGAGAAAGGTAAATAAATATTTCCCAGATATACCTGTTGAAGAACATATCCATGTCATTGTATCTTCAGCAGGAAAATCAAGCAGAGATCAGGAACTTCAATCTTCGAATTGCAAAAGACGATCTATAATGATGTACATGGTAAGTGGTTTTAAAGTAAAAAAGAATGTTCTAACAATTATTGTCATTAAAACAAAAAAAAAACTTAAAAATAGAATGTCAGAACTTATGCTAATTTGGCCATCGATAGTTGCGCTAATGCCAGGAACGTATGCACCAAAAGATATGCTTAATGAATTGAAAATATAAAAAAAATCCATTAAAATTATCAACTTTTAAGACTTTTAAGACTTAAATTTGCCAACTTATCTGTATATTCCAGTATTCGATATAGTATGTTTTTTATCATATTAATGCATGACTATTCTGTATGACTGCAATACTCTACACGTTTTCACTTATTCCTGTATTCGTATACAAAAGGAAATTATAGTGATATCACATTTATCAAATGAACATAGTCGGGGAATTAAAATTTTTTTATCCTTAAAAATTAAAAAAAAAAAAAAAAAAAAATTTATGAAGATAATCTGCCTAATTAAGTATAGATCTATATACCGAAAACGCGTAAAACGCGAGATTCTTGTGTAGATCATTTTTTGTACAGTATATACGTGACTTGCAATTCGTATAACGTGTAAATGATTGTAATATCGTATACAGTACAGTAAATGCGAAATACGAAAATTAATCTTTTTAAAAAAATAAAATTCTACTAAAGATATGTGTATATCGGGTTAAAAAAGTTTTGCCCTTTATTTTGGAGTGGGATAGACCTGACTCATGATCTGCAATGCTAGTGTCACACAGACAATTTCTATGTTGATCACGTGTAACGTTCAATATTGATTGGAAAGTTTTGTCGCATTACATAGTTATCTTGATTATCTCAAAAACATACTAAATAATTAAAGTCAGGGTGTCTAAGTAAAACTGTTCAGGCACCTGAAAAACCTCACGAGAAATAAAATTGGGGCCTTATATCTATCTAATCTACATTATGTTATATAAAACACCTCTTCTATTCTAAAACTGCTAAAAATAAGAATGTTGAATTATATGGGGTCTTTGCCTTGAATCACCTTCCGACATTCCGATCGGACTAATTCGGACGAAATCAAACCCGCGTATTAGTTCATGTTTATGTGTAAATCTCCTTTGCCTCTATTTTTCAATAGTTTTATTCGATAAACTATTGAATCAATAAATACAAAGGGGGATTTACGTATAAACATGAGGGTTTGATTTTGTCCGAATAGCCCGATCGAAAATGTCGGAGGGTAATTTTAAGGAAAAGACCCATATCACCGGTGAATATTAAATAAATTCATATATAAATTATAATATATTTAAAAAAAAAATTAAACAAATTTTAATCAAACAAATTTTAAGAAATTATTTTTTAGTTACTAAGTAAAAAGCAATTGAAATTTTAATAATAAAGAAATTTTAATTAAATATAAAAATTAAAAATTTATTTAATAATAAAAAATTTATTTAATGAAAATAATAATCTATATTTTTATAATTAAAATTTATATAAATAAATTTTTATATTTTTTTAAAGCAATTTTTTTATAAATTAAAATTTATGCATATTTTACTATTACAGTCAGGGTCGGTCAAATTACTGGACGACCAAAAATTCATTGGTCAAACTGGTCTGGTCAAATTGGTCAAATGGTCTGGTCTATTAATTAAATAAATTTATATCCAAAATAAATATATGGGGGTGAGTCAATAGAAACGCACCAAATCTTTTTTAATGAAATTTTTTTAAATTTTAAACAAATATAAC